CTCCTACTTAGACTAGTAGTACCTGATGGGCATCTCGCAACTAACCTACCGTTATGACAATCAAACAGCATCGGTTTATTCTTACCTCTGTTCCAATCATCCATCTTTACCTACAGACTTTGCACTTATGTCTGTTCACACCATGTGGATTATTAATTGGTTAATTAATCAACTTTTTTGACCATCATTTTTCTTCACACTTCTGTACTTGAATTTTTATTTATTATTGCTTACACTGCAATAAACCGATCTCTCACCTGATGAAATGATAGCGGTTGGCCTTAGAAGCCCTACTGAGTTCAGAAGAACTCACATACTCAGATTACAAGATATACTAACCCACAAACATATCCCAAACAGACCAGAATCAGTGTATTGTTGTGGCTAAACCACAGACCATCGGAGATTATCAAAGACCCGAAAACATGCTGAGACAACAACAAGGGAGCTCAAAGAAATCAATTGGTTTATTCAAGCACGTCATAAAAGTATTGGATGTTGGTTACTAGATGTGTTTAAACAGGTCCATCTCAGCAGAATTGGTTTTAGCGTTGGTTGAGTTTAGCCTGGCGTTGTGCTTACCAGATTACTGTTATCATGAATATATTCAGGTTTCTTGGAGATGCTTCACATTTTGCAGCTATTATAATTTTACTACTGAAGATTTGGAAAACACGATCTTGTGCAGGTACAGTTCGATGAACGCAACCAACGCTATGTTTCAGGTCTGTCAGGACGTAGTCAAATTGCATTCGCTATTGTATTCACCACACGTTATGTTGATCTTCTGACATCTTATGTATCTCTATACAATTCTCTCGCAAAGATCATCTTCATATTTTCATCTTATGCGACATTGTATTTAATATATTTTAGATTCAAGGCTACATATGATGGAAATCATGACACGTTTCGTTTGGAGTTCCTTGTTGTTCCGTGCGCTCTACTGGCATTGATTGTCAATCATCGTTTTCAAATTATTGAGGCAAGTCGTAATAAATAGTGCTCAACCTTACCATAGTTGTTGTGGACCTTCTCCATATATTTGGAATCAGTTGCCATCCTGCCGCAATTGTTTCTTATTAGCAAAACTGGAGAAGCAGAAACCATCACTTCTCACTACTTATTTTCGCTTGGTTCTTACCGTGGTCTGTACATACTCAACTGGATATATCGGTATTATGTCCAGAACTATTACGATTTGATAGCCATCTCTGCAGGTGTTTTGCAAACTTTACTATATTGCGATTTTTTCTACTTGTACATAACTAGAGGTATGTAACTATCTAACCACGTGATTTTTAGTTATTAAGGGCAAAGCTTTTGCTCTTCCAGCGTAGTAATGTGACCAAATGAATATGCCATCCTGATTCATGATAATGCTATAGTATGAACTCCGATTCCTTTTCACTTGTTTCTACTGTCGGATCTGGGAAGCTCCAAAGTACTGTTTAATCGAAGACTCCATTTGTGTTCACTGTATCAGTGGTAAACAAAATACAGCTGATCGTTTTTCTTATGCGCTCTTGTTATTCTAGCATGCACTTCACATCTGAATGATATCAAAAACTTTCTTTTTAGCTCCCCTGTGATTAATTTTTAATAAGCTTTTATCACCGCCTCCAACTGGGCCTTAGCTTCATTCTACGGAATGTACTATTAACTCAGTTTCTGCTACTTTTTTTTCTGTTATCCTAAATTTTCAGTTAAGCATTTGGTTGCCGCAGAAAAACTTATTACAATAAAACGACACGAGTTATGTTTTCGAATGCTTTCACTTTAGTCATTCTGAGGTTTGGTCGTAATTCTGGGGTCTTTCGAGTCGGTACATACATTGATATGTGTAGTAATGCTCGCGGCGTCTCGTCTCATCTGGATACTAGACATCGTGATCCAAGATGAAAAGCGACGGTGGACTGCTTACTATTTTATTGAAGTAGATTGCGTGCGGTTTACTAAGATTTTGTTCTCGTAGTGTTTGAGGTTCCTCATGACTAGTTCCATATTAACTCTCAACTGGTCGTCACAAAGTCTGTGGAATTCACTGGTACAATTATCGTGATACGTTTATAACCGCAATGTTTTATGTTCGTATGGATCTCCCATAGCGTGGCTCTTCCAGCAGACCATAGATTGACAATCATTGGATTCTCCATTGTAGGGACGTTTTTGTTGGCAGCTTGAGATTATTCATGAAACGTTAACTTTACTAACATTTAAATTAATTTTGGTATCATTTACAGACTTAGTTGATTCCAATAATTCATGGAGTACCACAGGACTAGACCATTTGTTGATGTTGGTCGTATTTATGGACGTGATATAATTTGTGAAGAGTACTTTTCTCAGTTTTCGTTGTCCTCTAGGTTGAATCTGTAGCCAAGAGCTTTGAAGTATCAAACTTGTAATACATCCGATGCATTCACCACTGACGTCTAGATATCTCTACTTTCAAATCAAATTAGAAATGAATCAGATACGAAAGTTTATGCAGTTAGTGTTTGGATTATGTTTACAGTTGATATTCCAATCAAATAGTGGGGATGATAAGTCCGGTTTAGTAGCCTTCAGACATAATTAAGCTAACACTCAGATGATCGGATGGTTTATGTCACTGTTTCATGGTTTACACGGTAAAGATTAAAGACATCAGAATTGCAAATGGAATTGGTCCGATTCTTGTGAATCATCTACCGACCCTGCACTTGAGTTACATTTCTGTTTGGTACTCAGAATCTGCATTGAAGAGTTGGGCGAGCCTAGTTCCAAACAAAAGGCGCACTAACCTATCCTTGGTTGTTGGCTACCGTGAGATAGCATCTTGACGTTGCTTCACTGCCTTTTGGATTAGATCTTTAGGTCAATCGCTCGAGGACCCCAAAGAAACTGCCTACTCCGGTATTGCCACCTCAGATCATTTTGGTTCACATAAATGGTTACAACTGAGAACTGTACTTCAATATGAATTCTCACGATTATATAACAACAACAACCTACTTTACTGAATATCTCTGTTCCATTCCACTCTTGCATACTCTCCTAGTCTTCGACTCACTTAACGGCTCGATTATGGTGGGAATCTAAACTATCGCATCACTAACCGGTCGGAAGCTGCCACTGTATCGTTCGAACTGACCTCTTTCAATATTCTCAAGTTAATTGCATATCGAACAACAGGTAAGGCTGGCTATGTCTTTAGGACACCTCAGAATCCATGTTTGTTGCCTGAGACTTGCTCAAGTCTATTAAAGCACTATATACTCACTATTTATTTGCCGATTCCCAGAGCTTGTTTCATACACTCGGGAACCATGTGGCATCTCCGTCTGATTTTTCTGTCGCATTAAACGCTAGGTCTGAGGTAGTACCTATGGGCTGGAACCCTATAAGTGGTCGTTTGTATCGCCGGATTAGGGAGCTCCATCGAAGTGACAGTTTTGCTCGTTACTACCTACACCTCGACAGATTGAAACCAGAATGCTATCAAGGATTAATTCTACCACCAGTTAAGTGATATCCAGAAAGCACATTCTACAGATATTGTAGTACTGACGGGAGATTCGAATGTACAGACCAGGCGTCTAGATACCGAGAGTCGTTTGGTTGCCTATTAGCAACTTGTTGGACACAGGTCTACTGCGACGTTACAGACTAAGGCCTGTTTCTGGCTATCATTGACTAACGGCACAATCATCGCTGTCGTCCATCTCTGCATGTCGAGTCTGGACTCACTGACCGCATTACAACCAGCTACCGCTGGCGTGGTTGTGTACAGGGCTTCAGCTCTTTATAGAGTATTTATCTGGACTCAGACCATCCCTCGTTTGTGCTAATCGCATTTTACGCTTCAGTGGTCAACAGATTCATCGTTCGAAGTATATCGATGTAAACGAGTCGACCGAAGCTTCTATTGCAACCGAATATCAAACTGGGACAAGTTAAAGGCTAGATATCGACCCTCTGACTACATTTGTATGACCTCATGGAAATGGTCAGAAAAGTTGCTTGCTGACTAGCTCTGGGTTTATACAGGCTCCTTACAACTCGTCATGGCACATCAGCATGCCTCCGCTGATCGCGAGGAGTATGCTAACGAACCAGAAGCTCCAGCTGTGTATCGTAACTACCGCAAGCTCTTTCAACTCATCCAATCTACTGGCAGCAAGAAGTCTGGTTCAGTGAAACAACCTGGAACTGACAAGACGCTGACAATAATACCTGCCGATGTCTTGACTGTGTACAGAGTTCAGTGTGTCGTCCACCTTCGGTTCCTATCGCAGTAGATGTTTTCAAATGACACTTCAATTTTGCAATGTTCCCTATGTTTAGCATTACTATAGGCTGGATTACCACTTCTAGGTCTTTAAGTTAGTTTGTATGGTCCAGTCGTTCCACCTCTTCTTGATGAGTCCACCGATTGACTCGTTATTTTCCTGATACGATAGGCACCGCGTGGTGCTCTTGATACCTAGGAAAAATATTGACTAAAATTTGGGCTCAGTGGGCGTTGTACGCCTCTATTGATCTGCTGTATTTTAAGGAAGCACAAATAGTTGATTAACTTCAAGTAGTAGCAAGAAAATAATATGTGCTGTTCCATAAAACAGAGTGAAAAGCCGCCAAAGCAAATATCCAGTTGTGGCATGATAAGCGAAAGTCAGCGGAGGCGCTAACACTCGTAACCAAACGATAAGTAACCTGACAAATGAATATTTGATCATACAAAAGCGGTTTCGAAACGAGATTTATTAAAAATATCCAAAACTAACCACAAACATAGAACAAATGTCAAGGAACCGGAAAAATTGCTCTAAAATTATCGAACTTCATGATACAAGTTCTCAAAAAGCTAACGTTCCTCAATGTGAATGGGAGGAGTTCTACTTTACACATATCATTTATCAAAACAAAATGGTAGAGTTTCGTATGAAAGATTAGAAGGCGGAAAGAATCTAAATAGAAACGATCTCAAACGTTTTGGGAAGTTCGTCAAGTTCCTGTTAACCGATTCGACAAGCATCGAAGTAGAAACTTGAGCTCACAAGTTGTGTGGCAGAATTATAATCACCTGCTAGTATCATGTCATATAATGCGCGCAGTTCAGATTCCACAGGTTGAGAATCAGGATCACGTCTGGGATAAGATGTTTCGTTTAAAAGTTTTCCCATAAGATAATGAAGCCAATAAAGATTGGAACTTGGATGAAAGGGGCGCCAATCATTTCTGTAATACAAAACAAATAAGATATTTAGTATTATGATAATGAGGAAAAGTTATAACTAACTGCAACCTTGTGCAGGCTCTCTACTCTAACACTACTGGTCGAGTCGAAATCTATGGGGAACTCTTATCGGAGTCGATAACTTCAAGTGTTCATCAGGGTTGTCTGCTTTCCCCACTTTTATTTAACTTTGTCACATACATCCCTTTAGAGTTAACGCACTCATTGTCAGACTTCCCAAAGGTCGATCTTCTACTAAAAGATTCACTTGTTGACTTAAAATACACAGGCGATATAGTTCTACTTGGTGCAGACGCTGACAAAATGCAGCCTTTTGACCACCAAACAACAATGCAAGCATGTTTGAGATGAGATTCTCACCTCCAAAATGCAGAATGTTGCTTTAGGATTGACCTGCATCAGCGCTTGAACTTATGATAGAAAGTGAAGTGGTTGAGTACATCGACCGCTTCAATTATCTTGGAAGTTTCATTGTTCCTGATGGTCTGGTGTCTGACGAAATCTTGGTACGAATTCAGGGAGCTCGATTGGTCTTAACCAACTTGCGCCACTAGTGGAGTAGACAAGGTATTCGTTTGCCAACCAAAGAACCAGTTTATAGTGCAGTAGTTTGCTTCGTTCTACTTTATGGGTGTGAAACATGGCCATTAAAAATAGATCTTCGTAGGTTACGGGTATTCGACCATAGGTGTCTGCGAAGTATTGTCTGTGTATTTCGGGACCACCGAGTAGACGATTCCTGGCTTGGGAATATGGTACTAGGTGAGGATGGCAAATCAATTAAAGAGGTAGTAAATCTTCATCAACTGACGTGGCTGGGATATGAGTTCATCTATTACTTACCTTGACGTTGAACGATTCCATTAAGCCGTCGATAATCGGACTGACCCAAAAGCAGACTCCGAGTGACATGGCTCAGAATTGTTCGTAATGGCCTAAGTGTATCAACTCCTTGTATTGCCTTTAGACGCTGAATCACGGAATCTTCACTTTTCCCATGTCTAATCTTTTCTATGCTATGTTTGAAATATTTTGTGTTCACCATATATACGGTGAATTTCAAGACATGAGACATCAATAAATGTGAGACGTAACTTGGAAACAATACCTAGTCGTAACAAATTTATGGATCATTGGGACTGAGTTTTTAGTAGAGGTTCAGTGTATAGCTCCCAAATCAAATGGTTTATAACTAGTCTGTTTTCACTAATTTATGACTTCTGAAGGTTTATAAATAGATGTATCGCGGGGTGGAGTGCTCATCCAATTGTAACAAATGCGTTAATGGCTACCATCACTGGATACTAAGAAAGTATTACGAAGCCTAAATGCCCACTAATTCTGGGAAGTTATGCATGTAAATATACGACGAAATGATTTTTACTTTTAAAAAAACGTATGAAAACAAATATGTCACTTATAACATACCCATTGTTTTTGCGCATTATACGGTAAATGTCAAATTGATAATCCCCTTCACACTCAAAAATTTCTGGTGACTCTGACATATCAACGTAAACAATGTTGCCTTCTAAAAATTAAAAAATCAGAAGTACACGAGAAGCGATGTAATTTCTTTTCAAGCTACCCAAGGAAAAAGGAAGTAATGTAAACGCTAAATTGAAGCCTGGTGGCTCATATAATGCCGTCTGATCACTAAGTAATAAGAAACTGTTTTGTGATGTGTGAGATGTCGAATATTCGAAAATAATCGATGGTAAACATTCACGGTTCCAAAAGAAAACATCCCATTGGAAATCTGCCTCCATATTTGTTTCCGGTAAAAGGAAACTTACTGCTTTTAATTTAATAAATAACTTTTAACAATAAAGGTCCAATCCCAGAGTATGAGATTTTTAGAGACAATCGATTGTGGTAATATTTTGTACTGAATGTATACAACAACAAAAATATCAACTCACAACAATAGTTAGCAAGATTCAATGTTAAACGTGAGAAATATAACTAAGTGGAACGCTTTTGCGAAACTTTAGTCATTTTTTCAGAAACTAAATACCGCTTAGTACCAGTAATGGGATTAAGAATGCGAGAAAGTTAGACAATATGTACGGTTATTTCAGTCTTATCACTACCTTCAGTAGAGTAAAACCATTTAAGCTTCAAGTGAACTAGTAATAAGATCAAACGACTGTATTTCTTACCAGGTTGTTGTATTAAATTTCGCCATAACAATATTTATGTATATTAACATTCTCAAGTCAACCCAACGAACTGCCTAATGACTATCCTAGTTCTTGAATAATTAAATAATATGTAAAGCAGTAAGTCCCAGATTCGAAACCCTCACCACCTACTTAGGTTTGGGCAATACAGTAGTATGATTAACCCTCACACCTAGTGTGCTTATTGAATGAGTCAACTTGTGAAACCCTGAAAAGTAACAAACGGTTACAACGAAATCCATTTTGGTGTAGAATACATTACTAGTTTTCTACTACTTTAGTTAGTATGACTTGATCTTTATATGGATTAACTTTGAATTCTATTTGGTGAAAAATCATATACTAAGGACAAGTTCCATGTGATCCACGGGAATCAGCATCTACGCTTTGTTTTATCTCTAGTCCTCACTGTTGTTTGCGTTTGTTCGGTATTTTACTTTAATAGTAAAGTGGCGTGTAAAATTAGGGATTAACTATACTGTCTAGAATCGCGTCTATAGCTGGGCTGGACCAGGGTTCACCTACGGCTTTTCCCCCAAATGCACTAAAACGGCCGAGGGTGGAGGACGTTCGCTTCCCCTCAGTGCCTTCTCGCGACTGGAGTGTTCACTGAAAAAGTGAGAGGATGGAAGGCGAATGTCCGGTGGTTGAACCAGACTGGTCAATATTGCAGGAGACATCTAAGGGAGTTGGAAAAGTCTGACTCCAAACCACAAATCACAGTATCTCCCGACGTTGCTCAACTGTCTCGTGGATGATGACTACGACTTAAGGAAATACCCCCATAATTTATATTCAACTATTCAGTAGCATTATTTTTATTTTAGATTCCATCACTTATCTATTTACCTTCACTCTCATTTTGTGTATTCCTTTCCTATCTAAAGGAAATCAGGTCACCAACTGGTCAACAGTTGAATGCTACCACTGAATACGAATTTCGAATAAGCCTTCCTGAAACCATGTGTCCCATCCAAACTAACCTGTTTAGTCGAGTTATGATAGTCCCATGCTGTGAAAAGAAGTTGTACAGGACTAGTGTCTGTCGATTATTTACGACTCTTTGGTTGAGGTCCTAGAGTGCAACACAATTGGCTTGACATGTCATCAGACATGACTCATAACGGTCAGTGGTGATCCTGCTGTTATTTCTTTTACTTTCTCCATATAAGTGAGAGGACCTTGTACTGAGAATTTTACCTGGTTGTGTTCTTCCCAGTAGAACTGCTTTTTCCATAATTCTTTGCTCTATTCACTTATTGTTTTTCTCTTTATTATACTCATCTTCCTTCGTTTATCTCTTAACAACCTGACTTTCTTTTGTACCAATATATGTTCGAACAAATAAATACTATAGCTATTAAAAACATTCATATGATATAAAAATACTCATTAAAATGGACTAGGTACTACCTGGAGTAAATAAGATACAAAAAATCCTTTGATAGTGTTCCAAGTATAATAGTGAATAGAACAAAACATTCTATATGCGTATCGAGAAATACGTAAAAAAATAATCCGTACCATGACAAAGACGGGATACTGTGAAATCAATTATTGTAACTTGTATTCCTTCAGTGAAAACGGCATAACTCACTCCCCCAACACGATAGCGCAGTTTCCATTGTCTAGTAGGTCGGACCAATACATTATGCCAATGTAAGTCTCTATGTTCAAATTGAAGAGCAGATTCAGCGGCAGCCAAAGACAATGCTATCTGTTCAATCACAGAACGAGCTTCACGACAAGTGTTGAACTTCATAAACACATAAATGTAACATCGATGAAAAGCATATAGCACTAAAATCACTAAGATCAACTGAGTATACACAAATAACAGCTGGGAGTACATTTTTCATGTCTATACGTGATAATACTGCTGTGATGAAAGATTCTGCGTATAACACAATATCCAAATTACCACTTAATTAAATTACTGACGAGATCTGTACTAACATATATAACACCTGATTCAATCAAAACTTCTACTTCCCAGGATACTGTCCAAACACAGTCAAGAGTATTGTTTACCTGTTGATGTCGAATTCAAACTGTATATGCAACCACAAGACAATTATTTTCACTCAGCTTTAAGAAACATATAAATAGCAATGGTAAGTAAACTATGGTACAAGTTCCTAAATAAATGTGAATCATTGCGATTTGAGCCTGTGAAAACGAGAAAGTCGGTCCTCAAATTGGGAATAGTGAGTACCAAAGAAAATGAAGTCCACTAAAATTATTTTGGTTCTTCTAAGCTTTTTTCACTTTGTGTCAACAACCTCGTTTGGAGCCTTACTAGATTTACTGCCAGTTCTAAGCCCAGATAAAGGAGGACTGGGCATGGGGCTAGAAACCCCATCTCGCAGAAAAGAACCTTGCTCAAAAAACGCTAACCAGAAAAAACAGTTTCACCATCTAAACTTTTCCTTAGGAGTTGGAAGTTCTTGATTTTGAATAGTTATGACACCTCATGGCGATAGCCGAGATTCTTAGAAAATCACGAGGCCGATGTCGCTCCTGACAACCAGAGCAACAGTTAATATATGTACATAGGATCTCCGCACAATGTAGGAGACCGGGAGGATCATTCTAGTAGCGGCAGAAATGATAAGATATAACCTGTCGACTCTTGAAACAAGTAAAACCCATCTGACGTAAGCTGCGGGAGAGGTGCTGTTGTATTCTGGTCATGAAGAAAACGCCTGGCATACATAAGAAGTTGCGCCGATGCTCTCCAAAGAAGTGCGGAAAGCACCTATGGGATGCGAATCTCATGGATCCATGATCCTCGAATCATCCTTCAAAAAAAGAAAGAACAGATTACAATGAATATCACCTAGTGCTATGGGCCACTAACGATAGCAGTGAAGGCGATAAACATCAGTTTAATGAGACTGAAGTCGATTGTAGAGGTACCTAGGGAAGGACATGACCATACTGATGGGAGACCTAATCGCCAACGTCGGAATGGACATTATATATGGAGATATCATGGGACGATATTGACTAGGAAATAGAAATAAAATGGTGAGGGATTTGCAAATTTGTGTTTTTAACAAAATGCTTATAGGTCTCACTGGACCACATTTGAGAGAATCTGGTCGATCACATTTGCATCAGAAGGTTCATGGAAGACAGCAAAGAGAGTTGTTATAGCCCCAGATCACCACCGGGTGGTGGCCAAGCTGAAATTGAAGCTAAAGAAGCACTGGACAGAGAGCATAACAAACGTCTAGTGTAGCTTTCCTTAGAGATACCAACAAACTCAGAGAATCCAAAATAGCTCTCAGAAATAAGTCCGAGGCCTTACAAAATCTACTAAAATGAAAAGAAACTACTATGGAGAACAAATGAACTAAAGAAGCACTAACTTCAACATGCCTGGAGGTTCTGTACCACACCTAGAATCTTCATAAGGAATGGATCTCTATCGAAACCTCATCGGACATCAAGGCAGCACATACAGACCTTCCTGTAGATGTCACTCCATAAACAATTGAAGAAACCAGCATTTTCATCAAATAAATCAAGACAGGGGAAGCATCATAACCTGACAGCATACCAGCTGAAGCACTGGAGGCAAATACAGGGGTAACTGCAAAGATGCTCCATGATTTCTTCAGAAAGATTTGAGTGGGATGACAAACACCGACAGACTACACAGAGAGATACCTCAGGAAATCAAAGAAAGGAGACCCGGTTAAGTGGAGCTACGGAGGCGTAACACTACTACTAGTACCAAACAAAATCTTCAACGAAGTGTTGTTGAACCGAATGAAAAATCCAGTGGACGATCAATTTTGATACGGATCAACCATGTACCGAAAAAGTCGAGACACAACGGATCAGTGTCGAACAGTCAATCGAATGGAACTAATCACTAAACATCAACTTCCTTGACCAAGAAAAAGCATTTGACAGGGCAGATAAGAGAACATTATGGAATCCTCTTCGACACTGGTGTACCTAAGATGGTCATTCTCATACGGACTTCTTACGACAGACTACAATGCAAAGTCCTGCATAGAAGGCAACTAACAGATGCATTTCAAGTGAAGACCAGTGTCAGACGAAGCTGTTTACTCTTTCCTTTTTGTTTTGGTAGTTGACTGGATTGTGAAAACGTCCACATCTCAGTTGACAGCTTGGATGTAGCTATATGACTGGTTTTGTAGATGTTCTAGTTTTTTCTACTCCATACACAGCAACCGGTCCAGGCGAAGACAGCCAGTGTAGCAGCACCCCTGCAGCACCAGGTTTCAACATTCACAAAGAAGAGAGCAAGATCCTGAAATACAACACAACAAACGCCAACCAAATCACAATTGAGGGAGAAGCTCTGGAAAAGATCGAAACTGTTATGTACCTGGGCAGCGTTATTGATAAAAGCGGGGGACCTGGTGGAGATACGAATGCATAAATTGACAAAGCAAGAGGAGCATCCCTACAATTGAAGAACGTCTGGAATTCAAAACAACGGTCAGACAACACCCAAGTCAGAATGTTTAATACAAACGTCAAGATAGTTCTACTGTACGGAGATGAAACTTGAAGTACTACAACTATCAACCAAAGGGTACAGATATTTATATACAGCTTTCCGCTCAATAAACTTCATATCCATTGAGCAAACATCAGCAATAACCTCACTTAAGCAGAGAAACAGCTTCCAGCTGAAGAGAAAATTAGGAAAAGACGTCGGGGCTAGATAGACTAAACTACGGAAATTATCAAACTGCATCAGATGGCGAGTCCTAACCTGGGATCCTTAGGGCAAAAGGGAACGGATACCAGATAAAATACTGTGTCGAGAATTAGAGGCATACATCAAAATAATGAGTAGCGTTTGGAAACGACTGAGATCCCAGAACAAAGTAGGTTGGAGACTTCTAGTCAGTGGTCTATGCTCTATGAGTAACAGATGTTTGTGCTGACGGTTAGTGGTGCTTTGGTAAGATAAAAATTCATGGTAAAATTATTAGTGGGCATTAAATGGTGAGATAGTACGATTAGTATATTCCAAAACGCTATTTAGTAACTGGTACTGTGAAGTGGGTTTTTCTAGTCAGCAAATTAGAAACACTATAGATCATAACTCCTCTCTTTGGTAGATTGCTCAAAATAAAACCTAACATTGAGTCGGAGAGCAAGATGATAGTACACAAATACCCCGAGTCACAGGAGTTACAACCAGAAAATCTGGTGGTCTGAGATTAGAAAGCTGGCCAGATTTGGAGACAAGAAGTATAACTAACAGCCGTATAGAAATTCTAAATAAATAGACTTAGTATACAGTTGACGTATGTGTTACTGCAATTACGCAGCCTTGCAAATTCCATGTAATTATACTTACCCGTACATTGGAAAGTGGTTCTCCAGCAAATTCAGACTCTAAAACCATCCATTGTTGTTCAGCAGGTAAGAAGTCCAGACATTCGTTGTCTGAACCCGTTGGTTTTCATATTTTCTCCAACTTGAAGCTAAAGCCTTAGGTAGTTTTCCTCGAACAACAGTTGCTCTAAAAATGAAGTGAGGTGGTGTACAAATATTTACTTCTTTAGCTGAGCAAAATTGACTGACCGGTTACGTCGATACTTGTATGCAAGCTCACTTAACTTCCTAATGATGATTCAAAATAAACACCTTAAACTTACTGCGATACGAACACTTCAGGATAAACTTCTCCAAATTTCATTTGCTTTTCACCATTGACAAGATTTTCTCCATCCACAGGGAAGATTTTGACCACATTGCCTTTCGGTGACTGAAATACTTCACCATATACACCCTCGCCAATTTTCACCATACTTTCAATTATTCTATGAACAAAATTATGAACTTATAAGTGAGTATCATACGTGTGGTCAAAATATTCATCGAATGACTTGATCTCAGTTTGGCCGCATAACCGCAATAACTTTTCCAGGGGATCACCCACTACAGATTGATTCTGAAAATTAGAAATTATTAAGGGAAAGTAGCTAATTCAAGAAGCTTATAATCCACTAAAATTATCAATTGTCATAAAGTATAGAAATATGGTTAGAGTGAATACGAAGTCGAAAAGCTGAATTACGTAGACCTGTAAACTTTCTGTTTTAAGACAAATAGCTGATATGAATCTTGAAGCGTCACTACAAAGTGGAAATTAACATACAGTAACTAGGCTAGGCTATTGACCACTCATATAACATCGATAATGGACATTTTAAACCACATAAATAAAGCTCTTACTTACAAGTAGTGAATCGGAGGATGCAGGAGAAAGATCGCAGCCAAAAGATTGGCCTAATTCTTGAACGTCGAACTCCATGCGCCTTCTGTTTAATCGCTTTAGCTTAGCTGCCTGATCTTTTCCAACTGAACTAAACCTTCTTGGAGAGAACAAGGGTAGCAACTCTCTTGAAGCTTTTGTTTCTGTCTGTGATCCATCCACCAAACTGCTACTACACGAACCGACGACTGAGTCAGACTGTATACAAGAACAAGACTGAACTGGGAAACGTTCCAGCCTAACCTGTAATATGGCATTCGGAATAGTTGGAATGCTGCGTCGGTGACTGCTTCGCAAAGTACGTTTTTGGATGGCAACTGGACTTGTTTTGACACTACACGAACGTGTTAGCCGGGTAGTAGTTTCACTTGAATCTCCAGGTACTTTAAGTCTTCGAACAAGAGTTGAGACATTTGTGGATTCATTTATTGTATTCATTGGATGGATGCTCCTTAATGGAAGTACTCTAGACCTAGATGGGGAACTGTTTTTCGGTGCCGAACAGAGGCCATTGTTCTCTTTATGCGATGAGGTCGAGTCAGATCGCCGTGGACGCTTAGCTTGACGCACACAGGTATTGGAGTCACAGTCGATACCTACGTTACGCTTAGAGCGGTTGTTTGGCAAATTCCTAAGTTGATAACCCGACTCACCTACCATTTCACAACCCTGAAAATTATGTTTAACTAAAAACATAAGTTCACCAACATGACGTCCAAAAACCATTTCAGAGCGTAGTAATTTCCGTGCATTTATGGATTGCCTAAAACACAGGATCCATATATTAGTTACATCGAAGAGTGAATTCTGTGCAGTGACCACACAGATTATGAACTTACAGGACCCTCAGCACCTGGTTGGCGAAGAAGTTGCAACGCCTTACAATTGATTTGATGCACCGCAATACAGCATATCTTAACATCATGTGCAAACCATAGAGAAATCAGAAAATAGAATTTTACTTCAGAAGGAACCTTTTGGATTATAGTGACTCCTTATTACTAATCACGAGATAATCCAGGTTGGTCGAAATAAACAAACGTCGGCGGAAAATTAAATGTGCTCAACATTATCACATCAACTAAGTGTATCATCGACCGGGACAATGGTCATGTATACAATGAATTTATGATGATGTAGTTTTTATTGAATTTCGCGAATTTTGCTGTAACTGTAAGCTTTATTCAACTTGTTGTGCTGTATTACAAGTGCATTATATGCTGGGATGATTCCCTCAAGTTATGGAAAGTTTAATAATACTCGTTGTTATTTTGAATTATACCGTCAGGGAATAATGGAGAAAGACTTCAAGTTAAGTTTGGTTCTGGCAGTTGTGCTGTAAACCACATTTTGATTTCTAAATGACTGTAGTCTTCAATGTGGGAGAAATATCGTTTATTCCTTTTTGGGTAAATCTTATTAGCTTTAAGTCTTTTTGTGGCTATATAGGTTTAATTATTCATAGTCAGCAACCTAGGTAAACATGTCGTTTCAAATGAAACGACAATTGCGAGAGCTTTCCAGTTTAGTACAATTAATTGTCGTATAATTCAGCTTAGTCAATACAATAATAGTACTTAAGGGGAGTGGTAAAGTACGTAATTTTAGTAACTAGGGTTACTTAATTTTTCATTGCCGTTAGTACCGTTGAGTGTCTAAATTAGAAAACGATCAGTAGGAGATTTTGTATACACTACATTTTTACTAGATCCCGGAACCTGAAGCTGAGAATTTACAACTTCTGCAGTACATGAGAAATCGGGGATTTGACAATGATGTGTCATATCTATTGCATTCCCCCCGCCCCAACTTACCACTAGTTCACTTCATTAATAAATTACACGTGATGCACCAGTGATAAAATAGTGCACAGTTTGGATAAAAGGTGATAATTATGTTCGGTGTGAGTTTGCAGACCATACGTTCGAGCTTGACTTTATTTCAAGATAACTACTATTAAACGGTTTCCCTGACTTTAACATCGACAGACGGTTAACCAACTGCTGTGTTGTTACTTTCTTAGAAAAGAGCACTATTTTGTCCTAGAATGGCAGCGTTCTACATCTTTATTAAATGGAACTGGCCGTAGATTAACAGTAAAAGCTTTTCAACAATTGGCACTATTATTTTATCACATACTAACTCGTATATCTTCCCGTCAAAGGAGACGCAAATACATTAGAATACATGAATTAAAGCTAAAGAATAAGAGCTTCACAATACAGTATTTAGCACATACTGTGCCTTGCACAACTTGTGAGGGCTGGTCTAACCTTTAACTAATATCCGTGATATTAGTGAAACACAGTCGTTTTATATATTTACTTACTTTACGTACATGTGTACATGCAATTTCTTTGGATTCACAGCCACTTCCACTATTTATAGGTTGCTTGTTTTACTCTTTTGCTCCAGAACGAATAACAAGAACTAGCTTCTTGGCATTCAGTTCACATGTAACAAGTCACACTTTACAGCAGTATAGAATATATGTGCTTCTGTATGAGTGAAGAACCTACAAACTCGGGCTCGTACATACATTACTACACGGGACGGATCAGTACTTCCCTAGCCTTCCTGCAACTTACACCAGCTATCATGATGGGTCGTAGTCGGGGATGGACATGGTTTATGCATTTACTAACCATCTCTGCGTCCAATATCATAATTGCTAACCCGAATGTCCTGTGGTATACGGCCGATTCTTCGGATACACCTGATAGATTACTAATAACATAAAGACGCCCTGTATAGCACAGTACACAGATCTACGTTCTCGCTCCTCATCTTAGCGAACATGTGACGACAGTCCTGTTAACCGTATCAAGATCACTGTCTTCTTCATAGAAGATAAGTACGTATTTAATTAATATAGTGCTTTTACTTTCCGAAATTGGAACATATAACAATGAAAAAATTGGAGTAAAATGACGATATTTAACAGATGCATATCGAGCGAATTTTCATTGATTACTAAGATATAGAATAGGGATATTAGCTTAGCAGGTGCATTTTGTAAGGAATAAACGTCTGTTTGGAAAGAAAAATGGGACTTAATATACGAGAAATAGATCTAGCGTTTCGGTGTATGTTATTGAAATGGACAGTGTTCTAGGACCTACCAACCACTGAAACTGCAAGAACGTTATCTAAATAAATAATTCGAACAGAGTGTTGGGGAAGTTAGATCCCCAGAACTCACTTGGAAAAGGACCTAATTCCGTAGTTCTATTTAGAAAATTTGCATTTCTCTGTTTCTCCGCCAAAGGTGCTATTTCCACCTTCATGTCGCATTTCCCACTTGGAAGGATCCTAAACACTATTGGTCCCACCAAATGACAAATGAGAGCTGTAAAGTTTGTAGTTGATCCATGGGATGTTGACTACCGTCCAAAAGGAACATTCGTGATGACACGCTGCTTTCAATTTATGTCACACTTCCACTTTTATAGTCTCTGAGGAATAAAACCCCAGTTTATTTAATCAACCTGTTTAAGAGAGTTATATAACTCTACCCTGTAACAAACCTACGTTTATGACCGCGGTTTAATCTTGATTCCAATTACTTATATTTGATTCTTTGTGTTTACCACTTATGTGTCCTCCAGATACATTTACATATAGAATCTTTATGATATAACCTGCGTTTCTGTAGTTCATACGAACTTTCAACACGTTCATTTGTATTGCTACCTAGCGTAACTATGTCACCGTAAAAACTGCAGCCCCATTGCGTTTACGCTTCATCCAGGTTGTTTAAGTATGTGCAACCTGAAAAAACTTTGCTGCTGTTCGTAGACAACTTGGCATAAGTACTGCCTCATTACTGGAGGATGGTTTTTTTACACATAGCTGTACACACATAAAACTGTGCGAGCTGTACTGTAAGTTGCTTCAACCCAAGAGATAACGGATCTTGCACAACCCATTGCAAATGTTTCGTATGACTGGTGTTCGTCACGTTTAATTCAAATTGATATGTGATCTACACTGCATCTACTTTTTTCTTAGTTCAGGCAAATACAGTCGGGGTCCCGCGTCCATTGTTACTTGTAGCAACCAATTAAAACAGTTTATAACTGAAGACGTTCGTAAGCGGAACATTTTCACTTTCCTTCCTCTGCTAGTGTTGCATGTCGGATAGATGCAGTTAATTAATTCAGGAAAACGTTTGTACACTTTCATTTGCTCATATGTATTGGATGCTATTTGCGTCACTTGGTTTTGCAGCAACACAAAAATACCAGGGGCAAAACACGCAGAACAAGGCAAGACAACCCACACTGTTTACAAAGATAGTGGAAAGGATAATTCTCGTTTCGTCCTAATTGGTCGCTAAGTTAACTTCGAAATCAGGAACTGGCATTAAGTTTACTTCACTGTCATTCGCTATTTCGACATTGCACCCGACAAGCAACCAAAGAGAAGCGATGGTTATTGTTTAAGCTACTGTAATCCATGATGACGTCTTGTTCTGTTATCATTGATTTTACTGGCTTACTTGAAAATTGTAAAGTTTCATGCGACGAAAATACTACTCCACCATGTTATGAACGTGTCAAACGTGACGCAGTCAGCCATGATTGGAGAAAAACTACAATGCAGCATACCATTTAAGCCCAATGTTTTTATTATATCAGTTATTCAGAGATATCTACAATTAAGTGACCAATTAAATGAAAACATGACTTTGATCACTGATTACGATATACTTAGATGGCATGAAAATGTCGTATTTATCCCGAGGCCACTAGGGAGGTTATCTAGTTTGTAAAGGAAGTAAGACTTCACTTAGTTTCTAAATTTCTCACAACGAACGTAGCTTTTTTTCTTTGTCACTAGTCCGATCTGCCTTATAATAATAATAATAATTTATTCTCAAATAACAGTTTGTTACATGAGTCATTCCAGTTTACAGGCAACATCAAATTGTTACAAATGATCCACTGCAGTAAATTACTCAGCTGAGTTGATAATTTATAAGATATGAATTTAGACGGTTTTAGTCAGTATCACAGTAAGCGCGCTTTATGAAGGCTGCGTTGCGACTAGCAGATGATGGTCGAGGATAGATCCACTGAAGGTGGGAGCTTCTAGAAATCGCAACCTAATATCCCTTTAAATATCTGAGGCTTTAACGATGGTGCAGTTTTCAGTGGCATACCTCAAGGGGGCTGAAAAAGTGTACAAGAGAAAGAAAAGACGAGAAACAGAGGGCAACGCTTCAGGAGTATCGTCCACTGATGGAGGTTGGAGCACCTGAAGGTCAAAATGTCGCAAGCTGATTAGTGCGTCACATCGATAATTCGTGAAGTTTTTCAGAAGCGGTCAAATCAATACATTTTTAGACTTGTTTTGAGTTCAGCCGCACCATGTGTGATAACGTTCATCCTTGAAGTAACGAAGACGATTCCATTGTGATGATGCATGATATAGGACAAATCTTCAATAATATTATGTCATCTCGCCGATGTACAAGTTGGGACAATTTTGAAACCTATTTGAAAGAAGTGCATAGGGTAACATGACTTCTTTGGTTAATAATTATTTTTGCAATATACGCATACTAAGTACTTTATGTCAGTATGTAAAGAGAACAATGATGACCCAACTCTAAAGTATTTTTTCGTGAGATATGTCTGTACATATGGACGTAAACGCAATTCGTCAGAGTCAGATGCTTGTGGTCAGGATGTAGATGATGATAGTGGTCATCATTCTTCTGAAGAGCATACAACTTCTAACTCACCACCACAACCCAGACAAAGAGGACGACGTCGGTCATCTACGTATGTCTTATTTCGACTGAATTTTTCCTACAGGTCGAAATATTCCCACTGTCAATCCGGATTTTTGGTCCGTGCAGTAAATGGTGAGCTAAAAGTCACCTCTATCAATATCGTGCACAACCATCCTTGTACTGAA